CATAAAGTGAGGTGAGCAGGTTTTTCACCTAATGATGGTGGCACAGTTGGCACTGAAGAAGAGAGCAGATTTATCTTCTACACATTGCACAGTGTTGTTCTAAGAGACTTTTTCATGGAAGCTTTTGGATAAACTAGAAGATTAAATATTATAGAGTTGGTGATACTTTGCAGGGGTCCAGCTGGCTGAATGATGAAAAAAAACGAGTCCGTTTCCCACACATTTGAAGTGGATAGGGAAATCCTTCCCACTGTTTCATTGTATTCACATAGACATAGGGGAGCTGGCCTATACCATTGCATCAATTTTTGATGCCTTATTTGAATATCATCTATGCATTTATGATATCGGTTTTCAGTGCTATCATTGTGTATGGACATTGCTATACTGATTGTTTTCATATCTGGCTATATCTTGTCTAATTAATTTCCGTTTCCTTTTCTGATCCTATTTCTGTCACCTTTTACAGTGTTTACTTTTAATTTACATCATCTAGATTCCACCCTATAGTGCGTTTTTTTACGTATGCATGTTAGTGGAGCGGGATTCCGGCACGTGGGCTGTCTTTTTTTTTTTTTTTGTATGACGTTATCATTTTATTCTATTTGTCTATGTGAGGTGGAGGTTGTCCTATTTTTTGTAATTTTTGTCATTTTTGGTTCTGACCTTGTAATAAACTAATTTTTCTTAGCCGCTGTTTGTTCTCATTAGGACCTCTATGCCAGTGCATCTCTTTCCCCTGGTTCTTTTCCCTTTTACTTCATATGACATGGTTCTGAGGATACCACCATTGTATTTGGTGAGTCAGCAGCATTTTCTATGTAATAATCAGAAATTTCCATGTTGGACTTTATTACATAATACTTTATATTTTTTTGCGAGACATCCCAATTTCTTTTATGCAATTTTCCTATACTCCCCCCTGTCATCAGCTTGCTGGCTGCATGTGCTGATGGAGTGGAAGTTTTCCAACTAGCCGTTTTTGAAAAATTAATGGATTGCAATTGATCTATCAAAATTTCGATCTATGTATGGCCAGTCGTCTCGAAAACTAACATGCTTTCCCTTGGACAGTAAAAACTAAAACCTTTTTTTTTTCTCGCTATACTTGCTTTACTGACACTTCCTCACCCCTCCTTCCTCCGCTGCAGGAGATTGTCATTCTCAGTCAAGTGACAATGCACAGGTTACTCCTCAAGCAGATAAGCCACTACAGCCAAGGTGATTTATAACCTGCAGCACAGTGACATGTTCTAAGCTGCTGAGTGGAGAGGATGAAGCCACAAGCTGTGGGAGTAAACAGCTGATTGAACATTAAAGTGGAACTTGATAAAAAAAAAAAGGAATATACATTCCACGGTAATAATTATGCTACCAAAATTAGTGTGTGCTGTAAATTGCCTCCAGCATTGCTCCTGTTTCTTCTTGATGAAGGCTGCCATTTTGCTGAAGCCCAGAGCCCCTGAGCAGTAGTAAATCTTTAGGCTGTCAGCAGATTGGCCTCTACACTTTCAGCACAGTGCCTAAAAAATAGAAACTGAGCATGTGCACAGCAGGATAAGACCGTGTATTACTAGATTTTAAACCGTAAACATTTTTTTTTTTTTATGTTTTACATAGCTCTATACCTGCAAAAGGAGTCAGCCTGAAGTGATCTAGCAGGACTTAATTTTTTGACTAAAGGAAGTGATGAGAGCCTTCCTGTGCAGCGACTGAACCCAATTTAGGCTTGATGGGGGGAGGGGGGAGTTTGACCGGAGAGCTAGATGTTACTGACTGTCACAGACACGGACTATATGCTGCTTCTTAACTACTATCCTCTAATTTTCCAGTGATACCCCCGCTGTTGCCTTTATACTATTCTGCTGTCACCCTAATCCAGCTGCTTGTTTTTGTGCTGATTTACGCTGCTTTTATATGTATGTTCTTCATTGATGCTTGCCTTCAACTAATCTAGGGACTCAGTCATACATATTAGGACTGATCCTGTCAGCCATTGAGCTTATTTTTTGTACCCCAGGAATGGACATTTTTGAAGCCAGTATTTAGCTTGCATTAAGTTATATTTATATCCCTTGAGCTTCTGTTATTCGCTCCCCCCTCCCGTGTCCTCATGATAGCACTGTGTTCTTTGCAATTTATTAACTGTTATTTTTGTTAGCCTCACCAGGAGGATATTTGGGGTGCAGCACTATGGGCTCTGTTGCGCTTGACTGTATTTTTCAGCTATGATGCATGGTAAAGTGTGGGCTAGCTGTGTGAGCGTAGATGAGTCTAGACTTTATGGGAATTATAACAACTTTGTCAATTTTAATGTTGGAAGTTGGAGGTTTACATGTTTCTAGTAATTTTTTGTTTAAATTTGTAATAAAATAGATCTTTTGGAATATACGGTGTTGTCCTTTGCTAGTAACTACTTTTGGGGGGGATTTTGTCTTAATCTCCTTCGTTTGTTTCATTATGGGGTTTAGTTAAGCTTGGAGGATGACAGCTAGAAATACATCGGGGTGAGCCAGTGATCCATAAAGCCGAAATGATACCTGGTTCAGGTTAAATTGAATGGGATCAAAGTTTTCCTGCTCTTTCCCCCCGTTTAGCAAGTTCCCTAGTTTTAATTGGTTGTCTTGACACAGGTTGCTAGATCCAATCATTGTCAAAGGGGAAAAGTCACATGCTCCCCCTTACTTCAAAATACCAGGTACTGCCGTTCGCTTGTGATAGGGGCAGGAGTAGTGAGGGAGTTCTGGTAAGGTAAGTGTAAATTAGTTGGGGGGGGGGGGGGGGGGCTTTTCAAAGTAACTCCCTTTTGATCTGCATAGGCCAAGATGTCTGCGTCTCTTTAAATATAATATAGAATATATATATACGGTAATATAGACTATAGTTAGCTAATTTAGGAGAACCGCTTGCAAAAATGTTTAACAGCACATACTAAACATGGACACATTGCTTTGGTATTCAAAACCAAAGGCTGGTCCTACTCCTCGTTGGGTTCTTCTTCTTCCTCCTCCTCTTCTTCCTCCTCTTCTTCCTCCTCTTCTTCCTCCTTCTTCTTCTCCTTCTTCTTCTTCTTCCTTCTTCCTCCTTCTTCTTCTTCCCTTCTTCTCCTTCTTCTTCTTCTTCTCCTCCTCCTCTTCTTCCTCCTCCTCTTCTTTCCTCCTCTTCATCCTTCTCTTCTTCCTCCTCTTCATTTTTTCCATTATTGTGTCCACCCATTGTATAGTGTAGTTTGATTAACAGAAAAGTTAGGTCCCCAGTCATACCTGCACTTCAAACCGAATACAGAAATTAAGGGCTTGTTCACACTTGACTTTATTTCTAACTCTTGCCAAACAGCCCTATAGCGTTTGACAGGCGTTTGGGAAGTGTTTTTAATGCTCCCCAAATGCCTTATGTGCAAGTTTTGAGGCATTTGATAGGCATTCGTCAAGCATTAAAACTGCCCCACAAACACCTATAATGAAGGTAATAGTATTAATGCGTCGCAACCGTACCGCAAACGCCTGCTGGGCGTTTGAGGAGCGGCACCATAGACTTGAATGGGAGGTTTTTTCAACTCCTCCTGACTTGACATGAGGTGCCAGTTTTGCCATGATGCAACGCTAACGCTTCAGTGTGAACAGCACTGTGTGCTGCCATGTGCAAAATTTACATAGGTGTTTGAGAAGCATTAAAAACGCTTCCCAAACACCTGTCTGATGCCTGCTGACAAAGCTAGTGTGAACGTAGCCTAAGTGACATAACACATTCTTTTTAGAACCAGCTCTGAATGCTGCAACGTTTTCAGTATAAATGCAATGGGGTTGAGTTAATAAAACTGGAGAGTACAAAATCTGGTGCAGCTGTGCATGGTAGCCAATCAGCTTCTAGCTTCAGCTTGTTAAAGTACATTTTGCCAAAAAAAACCTGGAAGCTGACTGGTTTCTATGCAGAGCTGCACCAGATTTAGCATTTTCCAGTTTTAGTAAATCAGCCTCAATGAATCATAGTTTTCAAGACATCATACACAATGCGTCTGCTGTTAATGGGATGCTCTCACATACTTGCCTGTACCTTCGCTGTTGAAGTGCAAAATCAGCACCACACAGCTTCTTCTTCATAATATTTGCAACTGGGTCATGCTCCTTCAATACATGCATGCCAAAATCAACATTCCCTGCATTTTGTCCCAGTAATCACTGAGCCTGATGAAATAACACAGAAGTAGTAAGGCACGTTAGAACTTGTACAGAGACATAAAGTGAGATTCAATATCCATACCAGTGGGTCAACACTAAGATTGAATCAGAACTCTTATTTCAAATATATATGGCAGGTAAAACAGATCATATGTCTAGATTTTAGATTGTAAGCAGGGTCCACTGGTTCCTCCTGTATTGAATTGTATTGTAATTGTACTGTCTGCCCTCATTTTGTAAAGTGCTGCGCAAACTGTTTGCCCTATATAAATTCTCTATAATAATATTAATAATAATAATTATTCTTATTTTACTTGTACATTCAGATGTTGGGTTGGAGGTCTGCTTTCATTAACTTTAAAGTTCAGTGTAGTTATTAAAACATTTTTACACACGTTAAAACCTGAATTTTTACTTAAATTACTTAACCACTTGCCCTCTGGAAGATTTACCCCCCCTTAATGACCACGCCATTTTTTGCTATTGGCACTTCGCTATTTCAACTGGTAACTGCGCGCTCATGCAATACTGTACCCAGACACCATTTTATGTCATTTTTTCATACAAATAGAGTTTCTTTTGGTGGTATTTTATCACCAGTGGGTTTTTTATTTTTTTGTGATTATAAACGAAAAAAGACCAAAAATGTTGAAAAAAACCCTGATCTTGTTTACTTTTGGTTATAAAAATTATATAGTAAACTCAGTCATAAATTTAGGTCAAAATGTATTCTGCTACATGTCTTTGGTTAAAAAAACAAAAAATCCCAATACATGTACATTAACCTCCCTGGCGGTTTTCCCGAGTGTAGCTCGGGGTAGAATTTCTATACCAAGAACGGTAACCCCGAGCTACACTCGGGCTTACCATGCAGCGTTCTCTGGGGGTCCCTGCAGCACTTACCTTGTCCTTCGTTCCCACGATGTGTCCCCTGCAGCGTCCCCGGCCATCTCCTCCGGCCGATGCTGGCATCCGGCTTCTGTGTTCCGGTCCCCGTGACGTCGGGACGTATGGGCGCCGGCGGCGGAAATTTAAAAAATTTAAAAAATGTCATTTTTTTTTTTTTCAATTTTAAATAGTAAAACATTGCTGTTTCATCCCATTTCACATACATATTGTCCCTAGTGCTTTGTCCTGTCCCCTGTCTGCATTTTGTCTGTTCTTTCTGCCTGGAAACTTAGAAAAGTCCATGGCGTCCAAAAAGCGTCCCTTTATGTCAAAAGCGGTTTTAGACCGGCTAGAGAACAGCGATAGTAAATCAGAACCACTTACAGAATTGAGTGATAATGATTTGTGGGGAAATTTTCCTAAAAATTACAGCCTACAATAAAAAAACTATTTCCATGCGAAAAAAATGGTACCGCTTTCAGCACAAAAAATCGGAAGGAATCATACCGCTAGGGAGGTTAATTGGTTTGCTTGAAAGTTATAGCGTTTACAAACTATGGTGTATATATATTGGAATTTACGTAGCTTTTACTTTCTGACTGCCTATCACATTTCTTGAGGTGCTAAAATGCCAGGGCACTACAACCCCCCCCCCTTTTTTGGAAAGTAGACACCCCAAGAAATTTGCTGAGAGGCATGTTGAGTCAATGGAAGATTTTTTTTTTTTTTTTACACAAATTTTTGGAAAATGGCAAATGGCAATTTTTTTTTTTTACACAAAGTTGTCAGTTAAATGATATGTTGCTCACACATGCCATGGGTATATGTGGAATAACACCCCAAAACACCTTCTCATACTTCTCCCAAGTATGTAGTTACCACATATGAGAGATGTTTTGGTAGCCTAGCCACATACTCCTCTGATTTAGGCCTTATGGGCCTCCCACACCGTTGCAACCGATACATCCTCTGTTTCATTCTCCTCAAAAATCTTTTAATTTCCATCTCGATCTCTTCATCCAGAAGAAGTGCCTCATTCATCCGCCAAACAAAACCTCCTCTCTCCTCTCTACCCCATCTTGCCTTCATTGCAACAGGGGCGTGATCTGATAAAGAACTCCAATTTCTACTTCTACTGCAGGTTCTATAAATTGATGTTCTACCAATATATAATCCAATCTAGAATAGGTCTCATGTACATGTGAGAAAAAAGTATAGTCTCTATCTTTCATATGCCTGATTCTCCATATATCTACTAATTGGCACTCATGCATCAGTTTCTTCAATAATCTCATGGACCCGCTCTCCTATCAGAGGATTATTCATTGCAATAGGGGCAAAAAAGAAAAAAGAAAGGAGGCAAAAGATTAACAGACTTCTAAATGAAATATTTGATCTTGAACAGGCCCATAAAAAGAAAATAAGGAGCTAATGCAAAAAATAATAAAGAAGAAAGAAGAATTAGAAAATGTAATGGAGGAAGAAAAAAGAAGAGTTTAATAAAGTAATAAGTGAGAGGTATAGATAGGGAGATAGGCCAGGAAAGTATTTAATGAGAACTCTAAGAAAAAAAGAAAAGTAGGAATTACATAGAAAAAATAAGAAATCCCAAGGGTGAATTGGTGCACTCAACTAGAGATATATCGTGGGAGTATTTAAGGATTATTATAGTAAGCTATACATAATTATACCCCAGGATATTTTTAAATAAAGCTGAAATAGTAAATAGAGAAAAAAGAACATACTTAAAAAAAGCAGGGTTATCAAAATTAAGTGAAATACAATTGAACTCCTTAGAATCAGAAATTACGTTAGAGGAAATAAAAACAGCATTAAAAAGTACTGCGGTGGGGAAAAGTCCGGGCCCAGATGGGTATACGGTAAAATACTATAAAAAATATAAAGAGTTGTTAATACCTAAATTGAAGATATATATATGAACGCTTTGGGAAGAGAGATGGAAATAAGGGGAGAATCTCTGCAGGCTAATATAGCTTTAATCCATAAGGAAGATAAGGACCCCTCTCAGTGTGCAAGTTATAGACCAATTGCGCTGCTGAATGTAGATACCAAATTGTACGCAAAGGTATTGGCAAATAGGCTGAAGGAGCTGATGCCGGAGTGGATACATGGAGATCAGGTGGGGTTTGTCCCTGGGAGAGAGGGTAGAGACAATGGCTTGATGCTTATACAGGAAGGAAAAAAAGGGAAAACCCCAGTGGTACTGTTGTCAATTGATGCCGAGAAAGCATTTGATAGAGTGAGTTGGGGATTTATGATGGATACCCTGGAGGTGTTGGGACTGGGGGATAGAATGAGAAAGTGGATTGGAAGGTTATTTAGAGGGCCTACAGCCGCTATTATGGTTAATGAAAGAAGATCGGAGCTTTTCAGGATGTCAAATGGAACAAGACAGGGATGCCCACTATCCCCATTGTTGTATGTGTTATCACTGGAGCCATTGTTGTTTACAATAAGGAAGAACATAGATGTAAAGGGTATGTAGATAGGAGATAGAGAACATAAGGTGGCGGCCTATGCGGATGATTTGATGTTCTATGTTGGAATCCTAGGTTATCACTTCCAAATCTGATGAAGACATTGAAGGAATATGGGGAATTATCAAATCTGAAAATTAACCCGACAAAAACTGAAATCTTAAATATAAATATTAAAAATAGTGAAAAAGAAAAATTACAAGAAGAATTCCCCTTCGATTGGAGAGAAAAAGAATTAAAGTACCTAGGGATAAAATTGTCAACTTCAATTAAAAATCTGTATAAAGATAATTATATATCACTATTAAATGAGCTTAAGGAAGAGTTGAAGAGAATGAGGAGTGGAAACCCGTCCTGGATAGGTCGCATAAACTTGATAAAAATGATAATTATACCCAAAGTCTTATATAAATTTCAAATGATTCCAATTAAACTCCCAGAGGCATATTTTAAAGAACTTTAAAAAATGATAATGAGATATATATGGAGGAACAAAAAACTTAGAATATGTTATGAAATGTTGACCAGAACTAAGGAGAGAGGTGGTTTGGGTGTACCAGATTTTAAGAGATATTACAAAGCGATAATTGCGAGAATTTTTGATTGGACCCATAACCCAGGGAAAAGCTGGGTTAAAATTGAAAATACACTAAGTGGAACAAATTTAAGTAGAATTATATGGGTGCCTGCACAATACAGGGGATTAGATGCTAACACAAGTTCGTACACTTTTAACGTTTTAAGAATTTGGGAAATATTACACAGACAAAAGGGATGGGCTTTTAATTCACAGTTAATGCCACTAAGGAACACAGAATATTTTGCCCCTGGGAAGGAAAATATCACAGGGAAATGGATTATAAAACAGGATGCGCAATTGAGAGACATAATGGTGGGTCGGGAATTGGGATCATTTAGAGAGCTGGAGAAGAAAAAGGGAGAAGTCTTTAACAGAATGGATGGGCTACAATACTACCAATTGAAACATTTCTTTGGGAGCCTCCCAAAACTGATGAGAACCAGAAAAGAGTGGAACCCAATAGAAAGATTATTAGAAGCACGGGGGGATGGGAAACACGGAATTGCAAAAATATATAAGATATTTACTGAGTTAGACACTGGCACAAAATTGGTATATATAGAGAAATGGGAAAGGGATATGAGAAGGGAAATAGATGAGGAGGAGCAGACGAAAAAGTTTAGATTAATTCACGAAAATATTAGTATGTGGGAAGTAGAAGTAAATTATAAATGTTTGGTAAAATGGCACATTACACCAAACGTAGAGCACAAACTGAATGGGGAGATTTCACCACTGTGTTGGAGAGGGTGTGGAGAGGTAGGCACGCTGTATCATATATGGTGGGAGTGTCCAAGAATACAAGAGTTTTGGCAAAAATAGTCCATTTAGTAAGGAAAATTACCGAAAATAATATTAGAATAGACCCTGAACTATGTCTTTTCCATATCACAGAGTTTCCAGTGAGATTATATAAGGATCTGGGGATCTGGCACTTTTTGACTGCAGCGAAGAGCTTGATACCTAGGTTTTGAATAAAAAAAAAAAAAAAGGAGGTGCCAACAGAGGAGGATTGGATGAATAGAGTGAATCAGATCTGTGGGACGGAAAAACTGTATTATATGCATATAGATAAGATGGAGATATATTATATAAAGGGGAAAAAATGGGAAGAGTATAGAGAAAAAGTTAAATACATGAGGACGTAACACCCTTAGAAATGGATTTTGTAAAAAAAAGAAATGTTTTGTGTAGTGGAGAAGAGGGAAAACGCAGAGTTGGGGGGGAGATGAGGGGTGGGAATGGGAGGGGGGGAAGAGGGAGGGACGGGGGGAGTGGGATCTAGATAAATTATGTTAATAAGAAGATATCCTTCGGATGTCTTTTCTTTTTTTATTAACTGAAAAAGGTGAATGTGATTTGTATTTATTTGGTTGAAAAATTAATAAAAATTAAAAAAAAAAAAAAAGCCTAGCCACATACATGCCCCCAAAATCCAATGATCACCTCCAGGGTTTCAAAGGGCATATAGTGCCTTGAAAAAGTATTCATACCCCTTGAAATTGTCCACATTTTGTCATGTTACATCCAAAAAACATAAATGTATTTTATTGTGATTTCATGTGATAGACCAACACAAGGTGGCACATAATTATGAAGTGGAAGGAAAATGATAAATGGTTTTCAAATGTTTTAACAAATAAATATCTGAAAGGTGTGGCATGCAGTTGTATTCAGCCCCCCTGAGTCAATACCTTTGTAGAACCACCTTACAGCTGCAAGTCTTTTTGGGGATGTCTCTACCAGTTTTGCACATCTGGAGAGTGAACTTTTTGCCCATTCGTCTTTGCAAAATAGCTCAAGCTCTGTCAGATTGGATGATGAGCATCTGGGAACAGCAATTTTGAAGTCTTACTACAGATTCTCAATTGGATTTAGGTCTGGACTTTTACTGGGCCATTCTAACACATGAACATGCTTTGATCTAAACTATTCCATTGTAGCTCTGGCTGTATGTTTAGGGTAGTTGTCCTGCTGGAAGGTGAACCTCTGACCCAGTCTCAAGTCTTTTGCAGGCTCTAACTGGTTTTCATCTAAGATTGCCCTGCATTTGGCTCCATCCATCTTCCCATCAACTCTGACCAGGTTCCCTGTCCCTGCTGAAGAAAAGCATCGCCAAAACATGATGTTGCTACCACCATGTTTCACGATGGGGATAGTGTGTTCAGGGTGATGTGCAGTGTTCGTTTTCTGCCACACATAGCGTTTTGTTTTAAGGCCAAAACGTAAAATTTTGGTCTTATTTGACCAGAGCACCTTCTTCCCTGTTTGCTGTGTCCCCCACATGGCTTCTCACAAACTGCAAACAGGACTTCTTTATAACTTTATTTCAACAATGGCTTTCTTCTTGCCACTCTTCCATAAAGGCCAGATTTGTGGAGTTCACGACTAATAGTCCTGTGATCACAGTGATACCTCACATGCATGGTGCAGTCACTGTTTACATACCACCATGGGGCCACCACTTGCGTTTGCCTTTGTGCACGAGCATGGGAATGGGGATGGAGGTGAATTTTTTTTATTTGTTTTATTATTTTGCTTTTTTTAAAATTATTTTTACACTGTCCCTTTCATATTTTGTTTACTCTTTCTGAGAAATCTGGGGTCTATTAGACTCTAGATCTCTCCTCTGCCATTAAAGCATCTGATCACACCAAGATCTTTCCCAATTTTAAAATGCTGCTGTTTATATCTGGCAAAATGGAAATGATGAAATGCTCATAGCTTCTGGTCTCTTAGACCATAGAGATGATTGGAGGCATTCCAGTCTCTGATCAGCTCTATTGTCAGCCAGCTGCATTTTTGGGTTCCCCTGTGGGATGGGAGAGCTCAAAAAAAAAAACCTTGGAAGGCAGCAGGAGGGGTGGGGAAGTCTCTTCCCACTGCTTGTAAAAGCGATCCAGGGGCTAATTAGCGGCTAGGATTGTTTTTACATGAAAGCCGGCTGCCAGCTGAAAAAGAAAACAATACCAGGATGATGCCTGTAGCTGCAGGCATTATCCCGGTATCACAACTCAAAGTCCAGGGATGTACCAGTACGGTGCTGGTCCATACATGTAACTGCAGAGAACATGGGTATATGATGAATCGGGTCTGTGGACCAATATAACAGCAATTCATCCTTTTTTCTAATGCCCATGTTGAGGGTTAGGCTCAAAAAAGTTTGAAATGCAGAAACCGTGATAGGTTTCCATGTGAATTGTCTGGCAAGAGCTGCATTTGGGCTGGTGGCGATGTATTTTTTGGGGGGACACTATACTAAGGAGGCACTAGTATAGTTCTGTTTGTGATCAATATATTGATCTGTACAAACACTATACTAGCGACCTATAGCATGAGTGTGATAGTGTGCGAGCTATCTAACACTAGCTGATCCTGGCTGAGAGGGGACAGGTGGCAAGTAGTTACAATTTTTTAAAAAAATAAAAAATTTGTTAATTTTTAAACATTATTTTTCTTTTTTACCAGTTTTTAAAAAAGTACTTTTATCAGAGTAGTGCAATGTTACCATAGCAACATTGTACTACTTTTGGGGGGGGGGTTATCAGGGGTTTTATTTATTTTTGTGCACTTTGCATTGCAGAGCAATGATCTTCATTGCTCATGCAATGCAAAGCTTGCTTTGAACTCTTATGAATGTGTTAAGTTCATGACCGTTCAATATAATGGTGATCTGCTCTAGCTGGTCACATGGCACAGGGTGCTGTAATTGGCCCTATGTGTCATCTGAGAGCTGTGGACCAATCACAGCTCTCCAGGAACAGAAGCAAAGCTTTTATGAATCAGATTGATTCATAAAAGCTTTGTTGTCATTGTGATCACATATCGCTATGCCATCACAGGGCGATTGAAGTGCAATACGTTATTCTATTAATACATTGTAATATATAGTATAATGAAATAAATCAACTCACCATCATGCAGAATCTGTGAGAGCCCTGAGCTTATTTTCCTGCAACTAGATGCTCACCTGTCTCTATAAAGCCTACTACCAGATGCAGCTTGTCACTTGCCACTGTAGCCTGCCACCTGATGCAACTTTTCTCTGTTCGCCCATCGTTCATCTTCTGCAGTGCGGCCTGATTTCAAACAGGCCACGGACTGGTGCCGTACTCTGGACCGGGGCTGGGGACCCCTGATATAGATTAATCATTAATTTCAGGAGTATTATTGTTGTTAGTTGTGGATGCTCCACTGTGAACAGGTACTTGGGGGTTAAATGTACTCTTTCGCAAGACTTGCAGTTCCAGCTATGACTATGCCTGTCGGTAATTTAACCACTAGCCTACAGGGCACTTATACCCCTTCCTGCCCAGGCCAATTTCCAGCTTTCAGCACTGTCACACTTTGAATGACAATTAACGCGTCATGCAACACTGTACCCATATCAAATTTTTATCAATTTCTTGAGACAGAGCTTTCTTTTGGTGGTATTTAATCACCTCTGGGATTTTTATTTTTTCTTAAACCAAAAACCACTAAAATTTTGAAAAAAAAAAGTTTTTTCTTAGTTTTTGTTATACAATTTTGTAAATAAGTTATTTTTCTCCTTCACTGATGTGCGCTAATGAGGCTGCAGTGATGGGCACTGATAGGTGGCACTGATGAGGAGGCACTGGTAGATTGCACTGATGGGCATTGACAGGCATCACTGATGGGCACTGAAAGGCAGCACTGATACATTACACTGATAGACAGCACTGACTGGCACTGATAGGTGGCACTGATGCGCACTGATAGGTGACACTGACTGGCACTGATGCGCACTGATAGGTGACACTGACTGGCACTGATAGGTGGCACTGATTGGCAGCACTGATAGGTGGCACTGATTGGCATTGATAGGTGGCCCTGACTGGCACTGATGGGTGACATTGAAATGCAGCTTAGATGGGCACTGATATGTGGCATTGATGTGCACTGGTATGCACTGATATGTGGCATTGATGTGGCACTGATGGGCACTGGCACGTGGCACTGATGGGCACTGACAGGTGGCACATCTGGGGCCACACTGATCATCAGGGCACACTGATCATCAGTGCCCTGATGATCAGTGTACATGTCCCCTCCGCGGAAAGCCGATTACCGGCTTTCCTCTCCTCTTGAGCTGTCAGCGTGACAGCTCGAGAGGAGAGAAATGCCGATAACCGGCATTTCCTTGTTTACATGTGATCAGCTGTGATTGGACACAGCTGATCACATGACCGAGCCGACATCTTCGGCTCTTTCCGTGATCCGCTGTGTCTGAGGGACACAGCACACCGGTGATCGCCACGCTGCGCGCTCCTGAGCTGCGCATGCGCAGTGTGAATGGGAGGACGTCATATGACATCCTATCAGAACGAGAGAACCACCTTGCGCCCATCAATGTACTATAGGGCGGGTGGAATGTGGTTAAGTCCCATTCACACTTGAGCAACGCTAATGCTTTGTGTTCATTTTAGAATTTTTTCATGTCTTTTCATGGCGCATTTTTGGAGTGCACCACATTTTGGACATGAGCCAAGCTTGTTCTTGCTCAGAAAATGAATGGAAAATGCATAACTGCTACTTGTGGTGCCTTTTAAGGAATAATGGCACTGCAAGCATGGGGCCTTATAGTTGAAAATTGGCTATTTAAGATGGCAAGCATATGAGCAAGCCAGCTCTGATGAGGAGGGTCCGCTGTTGAAACCAGTCAGCAGTAAACATGCTAGGGACAGTGGCTGTATACTCTAAAAGGATCCTCTACAGGGATTCCTTCTGTGCAGAAAGGGTTGAACAGGTTTCTTTCTGGATGCCATTTCATGTGATATATCAAGTCTATAAAGAACGTTTGAGAACCACATACTACTTTTTTTTTTACTAAATGTTATATGAAGGTGTTACACAATACTTGGGCACTTTTTTCCCATTTTACAAAGATACCCAGTCTGGAGAAAGAAGCAGAACTGTGGATACTGGATATTAAAAAGTAACAAAGCAGCGGATACTGTCTATTACCATCACAATTACAAAAGAGAAGTTTTACCTGGAAAAGAAATATTCCTGTTTCCCTGCCCTAGGATTGTATCCTTTTTTCAGCTTGAGAACTGAACATTTGTATCTAATTTTCAAGTGGTTGTAGAATTGAAGCAGAACTCCTGCCAAACATCTGAATATACAGTTAAAATTAGGACAGATGATCTATTTTACCTGCCAAGATATTTGTAATAGGAATTCTGATTCAATCTTTACACTGACCCACTGGCATAGATATTGTACTCACTGTAAACTCTAATGTGCCTTAATATTTCTATGTACAAGGATATCCATAGACCTTAATGTTGAAACTGGTTTTGTTCTCGTTTGTAACTCACATCTGAAAAAGGATTTCTAGTTGCAATTAAAACAGAAAAGATGGAGGACTAGCAGGATCACCGGGTACAGGGGCGGACTGACCATTCGACCACTTGGGCACTGCCTGAGGGCCCGGGGTCAGTAGGGGGCCCCATGAAATGCCCCTGGTACCCTTTTTTTTTTTTTTTTTTTTTTTTTTTTAATAGGCTTTTTTGAGTGTTGGCAAGGACACAGGGCCCCATGATCCCCTATTGCCCGGGGGCCCCATAAGTTGTCAGTCCGCCCCTGACGGGTATTAAACTGTTTGCAAAAAATTAAAAATACAACCGGCTACATTTATCGAAAAGGTCATGCAACATGACAACTATCTGAAATATCATATTTTAGGGTGACATTTCTGGACATTTTTTGCTATTTCAACTATTTAACCTTAGGGGTATGGGGTTGGAAGGTTGCTCTAATAGCACAATATAACAGTGATTTTTAAACAGATGATCACATGACACTTATGCAGGTGTGTGCAGGGCAGGGCAGCATTTGTTTGTTGCAATTCTGTTTGTTACATTAGTATTATGTAATGTTAATCTCAATTTACCACTGTGGTACTTTTTATGAACTCTAGGTTTGTCAATGGATGGAACCAGAGGTGTTTTGGAAAGTTTGGGATTTAAATCTGAGGAATATTGGAGAATCAAAGGAAGTGTTGCTAGGATATTGCAGATCATTAAATCCAGCCCTGCGACAGGTCACCCATTAAACAGTCTTTTGTAACATAAAGTAGGTTTTCAACCAATAATAATATATATTTATATTTCTAGGACTTGCTCCCCCCTCCCCCTCTTCAACCAATTGTTTCATGGTTAGATCACCATACACTGACCAGTATAATCATAACTGAGACTTTAGCCACAAGCCAGTAAGTTAAACCATCACTTTTTGCTTTTACCTTATATAAGGTGACCATATAAAAAAAAGAGAGATACTTTAGTGTACTTCAGTGATCCCATTAATTATATGATGTCTATCTAAAGTAAACGTGTAGTGAATTTTTTACATAGTTATTACTAAACGCAAAATCTGTAAATTTCAATTTAATCAGGAAATATTCATCTAACATATGATGAATAAGATTATCTTGCATTTTGTATTTATCATCAACAGCCAGCAGGTAGAATGCTGAAACAAAAGCAGCAGATTTTCTAAAGCTGGCTTGCAGCTGTACCTTAAATTTGGATGGCAGGGAGATCGGTTTGTACAACTAATCATGTGTTAACAGAAATGCTGTCTTTTATTTCCCTTGCACATGATTCAACAGGAATCTAGGTTGACCCTATTTACTAAAGTTCGTTTTGCACAGTGAACATTCACTTGGAGAAGTAAACAGGAAAACAGGCTCCACTCTTTCAGTAAATGAACTCCTATGATACTGTATATTTACAAGAGGGACACACCTTTTTTCTCTTACTCCTTCAAAGAGATGATACCATTTGTCTGAAAGTGCCAATAGACATTGGATAACAGTCTCCTGAACAAGGATGCAGGCAACATTATCCCTTTTATCTGCATGCTTTGTAAGTAAAGTGTCATGGATGCTGTATTAATTGCCAGCAATGTATTCAGAGAATAGATAAAATGTTTGAACACAAACGTAAAAAAAATGTGGATGACACCCTTTTTTTTTTTTTTCGGTAGATACTTTCCACTCCTTGACACACCTGTTGCCCATGTTACAGAAGAACTCTCAATCTGTGCCCCACAGATCAAGACAGTGATGAGCCATTTCAATATTTAGGTATTGTTCATTCTTCCATCTTAAATGTAACCTCTCCCAAGTTCTGGATACATTTTAACTTAAAAGTAAGAGTTGGTGTAAGCTACCTCTTATTGGTACAGCCAGCCTATTAAAATGATATGGCCACCTCATCTACTGTATACTTCGCAGAAATTCCTATTTCTCCTCATTCTCTGACTTTTGAGGAATGGAAAAACCATGTTAATGCCACTTTGCTTACAGAAAAACGATGTTTCTGTTGGGAATGCAACAGCATGTACTATATAGTATTGTGTGTTAATATCACTTGACCAGTAGATGGCACTGTACACTAAGGTTACTAGTTGTGCATATGTGTAAAACGTGTTGGTTCTCTCTTCTCTCTCTCTCTCTCTCTCTTTCTTAAAACCAAGATGTCTGCTGCAATGTTTTTTATGTTTGCAACTTAAGCCACACAAGTAAAACCGTGTTCTGCCTCATCACTACCAGTGTCTTCTCTAACACATAACCAACAGTTTCAACATGGAAGATGCCCACAAAATTTTAATAAATTATATGATCCTTGGGTATCATTGCCTGGACTGGCACCTATCACGCTCATTGCGTAGGAGCTGTTTCTGAATATATATCGACCAAGTCTTTTGGAGCCAGTGTCAACAAAGCTTTATTGTACATTGTGTTGTGATTATACTAAACAACCCTATATGATTCTATAGTTCTTCTTAGACTTTTATGAGGTCTTTGAGATTGGTAGACTGTTGTTGTTAGGTTCTTAGAATATGTTATCCTAATATAAACATTTGTGGCCCCTGTGGTTTGGCTTTGTCTCTTTATATTGGGAATAAGTAGAATTTCATAATATTTTTTGACAATCTGTGCATGTTGTGTTCTGTGAGATGTTATGATGGCGTGTATTGTATACTCCATTGTCATTTTCTTGAATAACAATTTATTCATGATACTCAGGGGTTGCAGCCAAGAGGTGTTAAACTGGCTATACAGTTTTAGGAACATTCATTAAAATTTCTAGTCATTAGTAGGGTCAAATTGAAGTTAATTTTCAACTGCAGTGACGAGAAAATTTTATTTATGTCAGGTACTTACATAGTGCCATCAATTTATGCTGCGCTTTACATATACAGTCAGTTCCATAAATATTGGGAACATCGACACAATTCTAACATTTTTGGCTCTATACACCACAACAATGGATTTGAAATGAAACAAACAAGATGTGCTTTAACTGCAGACTGTCAGCTTTAATTTGAGGGTATTTACATCCAAATCAGGTGAACGGTGTAGGAATTACAACAGTTTGCATATGTGCCTCCCACTTATTAAGGAACCAAAAGTAATGGGACAGAATAATAATCATAAATCAAACTTTCACTTTTTATTACTTGGTTGCAAATCCTTTGCAGTCAATTACAGCCTGAAGTCTGGAACGCATAGACATCACCAGACGTTGGGTTTCATCCCTGGTGATGCTCTGCCAGGCCTCTACTGCAACTGTCTTCAGTTCCTGCTTGTTCTTGGGGCATTTTCCCTTCAGTTTTGTCTTCAGCAAGTGAAATGCATGCTCAATCAGATTCAGGTCAGGTGATTGACTTGGCCATTGCATAACATTCCACTTCTTTCCCTTAAAAAACTCTTTGGTTGCTTTTGCAGAATGCTTTGGGTCATTGTCCATCTGCACTGTGAAGCGGCGCCCAATGAGTTCTGAAGCATTTGGCTGAATATGAGCAGATAATATTGCCCGAAACACTTCAGAATTCATCCTGCTGCTTTTGTCAGCAGTCACATCATCAATAAATACAAGAGAACCAGTTCCATTGGCAGCCATACATGCCCCGCCATGACACTACCACCACCATGCTTCACTGATGAGGTGGTATGCTTAGGATCATGAGCGGTTCCTTTCCTTCTCCATACTCTCTCTTCCCATCACTCTGGTACAAGTTGATCTTGGTCTCATCTGTCCATAGGATGTTGTTCCAGAACTTTGAAGGCTTTTTTAGATGTCGTTTGGCAAACTCTAATCTGGCCTTCCTGTTTTTGAGGCTCACCAATGGTTTACATCTTGTGGTGAACCTTCTGTATTCACTCTGGTGAAGTCTTCTCTTGATTATTGACTTTGACACACATACACCTACCTCCTGGAGAGTGTTCTTGATCTGGCCAACTGTTGTGAAGGGTGTTTTCTTCACCAGGGAAAGAATTC